GTTGGTGGCCCTGAAATTGCATTTGGGCTCTGATGTTAAGAGGAAAGTTGTAAAATAGTGTTTGTTTTGTATAATCACTTTCCTAAATTCTCTGTTTCTCAGATACTAACCAATTTTATAATTTAGAGTAGGGGGATAGATTAAAATTATTGCATGATTATATACATCTATGTGGCCAACAAGAAAAAAAGTTATAAAATGGTTCAGATTTTGTTTGGTATGTTATATATAAATTAATCATTTTTATAAATTATCTGTTTCTCTTTGATTTTTATTTGACCAATTGAATTTATTATTTAAATGGGGGTAGGGTTGTTGGTGAGTAGGCATGCCACCAACAAGACAGCAACCCAGGACTCAAAACTCTGAATCCAAAACAGCAACCCAGGTTGCAACCTTCCACATTGCAGAATTTTGAACCAGTTGCAGGTGCCAACTTCAATTTTATTCTAGAGAAGTATAACCCAAATGCAAATCTTCATCAGTGATCAATGCCCATATGGTTGTGACAGCCATGCCTGGTCTGTGGGAAAGATAGGGAATGTTTTGTCTACTACATGAAAGCCTTCTAATGTGTTGACAATTTATTCATCCATGGAAAAGAAAATTCCATGGATATGAAAGACTTGCAATTGCGCATTTGTGATAGGAAATTTTTATTAAATCTGACACCTGCAATCAACATCAGATTTATGAACCATAACTGATAATCAGGAAGAATAATTTATTATTGTGAACCCAGAGATCTGGGAGACACACATTATTAAAAGTTTCATTTCTGCATGGCCTTGGTATCATTACTACTTGGGTGATGCAATTGTTTGTTATGTCAATGATGATATCAAATGTATTGAATAATAATCATGATGAATGCAGGGATAAAGGAATTCACACATGAGGAAAGTATTAAATAGCAATATCATGTTTGTTTATTTTATTTTTTATTTTAACCAAGATATATAATTAATTATATCAAAAAATACAAGATAAAAAAATTGCCAGAGTGATTGCATGGAATTCAAGGCTGAAACAATCACACCATTACATGTCCCAAGGTCAATCAAGCAATTATTTGAATCCATTGGTGCACTCACTTTTGAAATCTTGTTGAAGGGAGATAGGTTTGTATGCAATTTAAATTTTTTTTATGTTAATTTAGAGTTCCATCTTTCTTTGCTCTTGTAGGTTGCATTTTACAAATCAAATTATTTACCTTAATGTAATAATCATTAATTTTTAAGTTTCAAAATTGATTATTTTGAAAAATATAATTTTTCTACAATTGTAAGAGTTACTTTTCAACAAGATAAGTTATAAGTATTTTCAAACAGGTACTATTGTAAAAATACAAGTTACCTTTATTTCTTAGAGGATAATCCTTTTTATGTTAAAAATACATAATAATATATAAATAATAAAATATAAATAAACTGTAATTAATCTTATTGTTATAACCTATTTGGAAGATATTTTGAACATAATAATAAACAATAATTGATTATCTCAAATAAATTAAGTAAATTTTGTATGTGAAACTGAAACTATGTGAAATCTAAAATTTTGGCTAATTTGAATTTCATGTATATACGTGAATTGCAAATTCACATAGATTTCATTTTCATGCACAACAAATATAAAATATAAATCACCACATGTGATTTGTTACAGCAATAATGACATTTTCTGTTTATTATCAATGATGATGTCTTTTCTTATTTTGATTATTAATGACAATAAACCAATTTGAATCTAAGCCATAATTATTTTTCATGGGGAAGTTGACCAACAAGTTGCTGAACAATAATATCTTTTAAATCATTTACCTAAAACTATTCAATTAATTCGTTCAAGTTTAATTCCTTTCCTTCAATTTTAAAACAATTATAAAAAACTACAAAGTGAACATAAAATTATAAAATTATATATATAGGGATAAGTGTATATGAAAAGTAATAAATATAATGGTTCTAATGAATATGAAAAAGCCATTGATTTTTTAGAAAAAGGTTGTGATTGTGGTTGCTCTTCAAGAATTCCCAAAGAAGAATTTGCAGAATTAAGGGAATCCTTTCAAGCTCTTTCCAAGTCTGAACAAAACATTTTTAATGGCATGGATCAAAGCAATAGGTGGTGGATCAATAAGCACTAGTAGACACCTTAAAAGAAATAAAAGAACTTTTTATCGATGGGATCACAACACACCTCTTTGTCAAAAAACTTATCTCGATATGCTAGGAATTGGTAGAAACTACTTTGAAAATATCACAAATCATCTAACAAGCCATGTTCTTTTACCAAGAGTTCAATTACAATGTAAAAAGAATGCCTCAATGGAAAACTAAAATTGGTAATTGATAAAAATGTTGCTGAATTAGTAAAGAATTTTCTAGAAATTATGCAGAAGTTCATGGATTACCAAGTCCAGGAAGAAGTAACAATAGAATAACTCAATCTATTGTATTCTTACCAGCTGAAATGAGTTATAAATCAATGCATAGAAATTTTCTAGCTGGTCTGGAAGAAGATAACAAATTGAAATCCTTAAAATATGATGCTTTCAGAAAATTATGACATCAATTGACACCAGAAATTCAAATTATGAGTCCAAGGACTGATTTGTGTGATACTTGTCAACATTTTAGAGATGGTTTACATTATAATGCTCACCAAGAGGAAGAAGCTAAAGATTTACTCAAAGATTTAAAGAACATTTGTCCAAGGCCAAATTAGAAAAAAATTATTATAATAAAAGCACCAAATTAGCAGAAGAACAAAGAAAACTGATTGATCAACATTATTCAAAGAGTAAAACACAATATTCTAGTACTGATGCTACTACTCATTATAGTTATGATTGAGCCCAAAATGTTCACATGTCACATTTAGATCAACAAGTAAGTAAAATTTATCTTAGTCCATGTAAAGTTCATTAATTTGGTATTCAAGATGAAACAGTAAAGGAACAAATTAATTATGTTCTTAATGAAGATGAAATTATAGGAAAAGGTCCTAATGGCACACTTGGTATGATTTTTGATGGAATTAAAAAATTGAATAAAGGTGAAAAGCATTTAATGATTACTTGTGATAATGCTGGTGGACAAAACAAAAATAACACTATATTTGATTTTATTTATATCTAGTAATTTGTGGTTATTATGAAAGCATTGAATTGAATTTCATGATTCTAGGACATACCAAATTCAAATGTGATGGTAATTTTGGCATGATTAAAAAACTCTATAGAAGAACAAGTGTAGATTGTGTAGAACATGTGGTTGAGGTGATAAAAAAGTCTAGTTCAGCAGGATTGAATAAAGGTTTTCAATACCTAGATATTAAACCAATTTTGGGAATTTATTTCAAAAAATTACCAAGTATACAGAAATATCAACATTTTCTTTTTGAAACATCTAATTTTGGTACGGTGAAAGTTCAAGTAGTTGTTAATGGACCTTTGACTGAACTCAATTTATTAAAAACCAAGAAAACAGATATTTTGATGAAATCAGATCTTTATCTATTTTAGTATTGACACTACCTCCTTTGGATTACAAGAGGCAAGAATACCTTTATAATAATATTCACCCATTTGTGAAAGATGAATACAAAGATATTACTTGCCCAAGACCAATCTATACTGGAAATGAATAGAATATTTAGAATAAAATCGTCTTCATGACTTTATCACTAGTTAATTTGTCCTTTACTGTCATTAAGCTTGACAAATATCATTAGCCTTTTCCACTTGTAAAAAAATACTAAAATAATTTATATACTTAATATACCTT